ACTTACGACCACCTGACAAGAAGTCTCACGACATTTTTTACGAAACTCCAACGAAATCATTCTACAAAGAAACAGTAGAACGAAACGAAACAACAAAACTATTCTAAATAAATCATTAGGTCGCAAAAAAATGCCATACAACACGACAGATAATAGGTAAATTTATATGCTTCGACAACATTCGTCGATTGATCTGTTCGATTTTATATTCTGATGATATCTTTTTCGTTACAGTAATCTTATGTTGCCAGTTGCTCCACACATGCATGGTGGTTATAACAACTTCCATACACATTTTAACACTTATGGATCTCATCCGTGAGTATGCCCCTATTAATAGGCTTGATCAATGATACTTTTCGATATTCCTAATTAAACCTACATTTTTCATTATCACCAACAAAGACCACCACCGGCTTTTAAAACTGATATTCATGACTCTCACTCATTAATGAATCAAAATCATTTAATGACTTCATCATTACCATCAGTGAGTCCCGTGCAAGTGAACTCGTCACAGACACTTAGTCCAATAACTTCATTGAATGGTGGAAATCCGAATGATTATCATATACCACATCACATGCAAGCTCCTCAGCAACACCATTCTTCCAATAATACATATCATCATTCACCGCCGATGGAACATTCACAGCCGCCGCAAGAAGTCCCCAATTACAATAGTTCATCACCAATAACGATGCCTTCTCCTCCCTCAAGTATTACTCCTTGCGCTTCGTAAGTATCATGCAAAGAATAAAGATCGAGACTTTTACGTGGAAGAAATAATATTTACGAATGATTAATTGTTAGAAATCTAAGGTTCGATGCTATACTTGAGGCACCTACTGCAGCCGCTCAACGTATCGATGAAACACCAATGACCTATCTAAATAAAGGTGATTATTCCTTTCTATAAATATAAAAATTCTTTCTGGATTCATTAAAATCTCATGTGTTACCATTCCTTTAGGTCAATATTATGGTATTGTTCTGCAAGATGCCGATAAGATGGATGCTGATTTTACCACCATCGTCAAGATAATGTTTCACGATGATGCTCATCGTAAAATGGCATCAACGTATTGGAGCTTTTGGCTCACGCAGCAAGCATCACCGAAAACCGCAAGAGCTCTTGATATTGGTAAGATTTACTTTCCATGCCATAAAATAATAGACTTGATTCGATATTTATAAATATTTCTCGATGGATGGTTATAGACAAAGCTGCTTCAACTGGAATAAAGAATGTAGAGACAAAGACCTTTGATCGCGTTCAATTCCAATGGAATGGCAAAAAGCAAGCAAAGATTTTTGTTCGCTTCAATTGCCTTTCAACAGATTTCTCGCGTATAAAAGGTGTTAAAGGGATCCCACTCCGCATTCATATTGAAACAAAATGTGAAAATATCGCAAATAACCAGACCCTGGAAAAATCATTCGCAAAAATAAAACTTTTTAGAGATAAGGTAAATGTTCTTATATGTTGTTGAAGCATCGTGACATGATTTACTGAAGCACGTGTTAATAAAGAATTCATCCCTCTTTTCCACAAAAAGGGAGCAGAACGTAAGAACAAGGATGATCAGAAACATCTTGATAAAATGTACGAAAAAATGCGGGGTAAAACCCAAGAAGCGACGCCAATGATGATGATGTATGCACAACCAAACCCTGTCACTCTATTCAATGATATTACGGGAAATAATGACGCGTCAGATGATGAAGAGGTTCTCAGCCTTTCAGAGAGTCTCAATAGTTTAGATCCTGATGTTGACGGTGGTGAACTTATAAACTTGCATTTGGGTAAACGACGGAGATTATCATCTCTTGGTCCTGATTTCTTGGAACCACTCGACTGCGATCCTACTTATATTCCAATGCGAAAAAGGCGTGCAGGTAAATATCTTGTTACTTTTTCTTTTAATTCATTGACATTAAATTGAATCGAATCGAATCGAATTGAATTAAATTGAACTAAATTAATAAATAATATTATCTAGTTCTTTGCATCTATGCCAAATTACCGGGAGAAGCAGTACATCGTGCAGTTTACTTGAATCAGCTTACTGTACAGGATCTTATATCAAAGTTATCAGAGAAACTCGATATACAAAGTCAATCGGTCACTAACATCACAAGGTACACTAAACGAAATCTTGCAGTACGCGTTGATGATGAGTTAGTTCATCAGATTGAAGATGAACAAGACATGGAAATTGAATACCAACTAACGCAAGATGGTGGAATTCTTTTAAGACTTACTTATTAAGTGCAAAGCGTCTTATGGATGAATATTAACTTAATGCAAAACAATCTATAACTACCATCACAATTTAAACCACCTTCGAGCTACTTGTCATTCATCAATCAATTACTCCAGTAATTATCTTATTTCGATCACGTGTGTTATATGAATTAAATAATTCCCTTCTCCTCTTTTATTTTTATTATCTATTTTTTTTAACCCGTGCTCCGTTAAATACGAAAAAGGAGTCAGTATTACTACTACTACTACTACTACTAATAATAATAATAATAATAATAATTGAAAATTATGAACCCACCACCTATTGCCTTTTTGCTTTTTTTACTTATAGTATATATCTATTATCATTATATTAACATATCAATATTTATCATTAGTTCTATTATTCTATTTATTCTCTATTTCGTTGTACAAATTTCACCCTTTCAATCCCTTTGTTATATATCGCACCTTTTTAATTTGCATAAATATTTTATTGTTCATCATTTCCAAAAAACATTCAAACACATTTTTTCAATATTTCTCACTTTTTCATGTAAAACATTTTTTTTTGGTTTTTTCTCTGGGTTTTTTCACATGGGCATTTGGTGGGTCTGGGTTATGACTACAACACACGCAAAATATGGGATTTGGGGGTTAGGGTTAGGGTTTGGTATATATATGTCTTATTGTCGAAAAAAAATTAGTCTTCAAGATTAACCATCATTGATTTCGGTGACGTGAACGAGTTGAGCGGTGAAAAAAATATGTAATTAGTAGTTCGTTAACATTTATTTATGATTTTAATGATTTTTAGGAGAATAGTTAGGATATATTTATTTTATTTTTATTATTATTATTATTATCATTATTATTTTATTATTATTATTTTATTATGAATTAGCAAGTCATGAAACAAATGTTTATAAAAATTCGTAATTCATATTCATTTTTATCAGAATAATTTGAATGGGGAGTGAGAGTCGATGTAAATATTTGATTTGAGCGGGTTGATCGTGAAAGACCGATCGCTCGAATAAATTGTTTATTTTTTTCCAAAATCAAAATTGATACTGTACAAATGATCAGCGTAAAAGAAACGAGGCTTGTTTTATTTGTGTGTTTTACTTTATTCAAAGATGAACGTGGACTATTTCTTGATTTTAATATAAACTTGAAAACTTGAGTCAATACTCGTTTGCTAAACAACCGAATGAATGGATAAAATGCTCAAAGTAATAAATACTTGGAATCAACCAAAGCCTCTTCTTTTCCCTGCAGAATGGTGTGCATCTAATCGTCTATGCCACATAAATTTTTCCGCAAGACGCGGATGATCTCGATCGTTAAACTTTTCCCGAAAAGATTTTTAGGTCGAAGTTTCGAACCATGTTTTCTCTTCAATGCTATTATTACAACTCACTCTTGATATAATGAAGGATTTTTTTAGAATCTTTCACTTGATATAGTATAGTTATATACTATTCTCATTGTGAAGATTTTTTCCCTTAACGCGATGTCTTCACTATATCGAGAGTGAGTGAGTTACATTTGACAAATAATATTTTGGTTCTTGCACAAATTACTTTCTCGCTGTTTCATTGGAGAAAAGCAATTCTGTTGTAACGTGTTCTTGTTCATTATGTTACAGCGAGCACGTATTTTAAAAAACTTCATATTTTTCTTTGAATAATATCAGATCATATAAAATTTTCAGTGAAGATCAACTAACGTTGTTAATATTCACCGCAGTCACATGTATCGAATGTTTTGCTGCTGAAGTTCCTTACATGTGTCAAACATATGAAGTAAGACGGTTACCACCATGCCAAGATACGCAACACAAATTGTGAAACTAGACAAAACTCTTTTCATAATCATGATAAGAATATAGTTTGAATGTAGCTTAAGCAATGATTAAAGGATGATCCGTAATTGCGAGATTGTCCATCATATGTCACCAAAGAAAGATCCTTATCTAATCTATGATCAAAAGAAAAAGCATATACGAAATGAAAAGAACAAAAATTGTCACTCGCGCATGAGAAAAACGGGTACTAACCAGAAAGGGAAACAAAGTATTTAAAAATAGACCAACCATTTTTAGATGGGACAATCAGTACAGTATATTTGACTGAGTATTTTGGAGTATTAAATGTCTTCGATTAAAGCGAATGTTAATATTTAATAGTTATAATTATAACGATAAATACAATTCTCAAAAAGTAAAAAATCATTATTACATTATCAGCAAATTATGGAGTGGTTTTAAGCACTATCCGAATTTCATGTTTATGTTAGCATTTACTTGTAAATATTAGATAATATATACTACTCGCATTGAATTTCCTTTTAGATAAACTATTACTTTAAATATTTATATTGTTATTACTGATGATTTAATGATTCTCAATAAATAAGCTGCATATTTGATAATCTTTCAGTGTTCATCCCTCTTTTTTTTTTAGGGAAATGATGAAAAGGTCTCCTTCGATGATAAGGGGGAACATATCAGATTTTTTTGGAATGACTATTTCAGGCAAACAAGAAATTTGTCTTTGTTCAAGTGTTTACATTTTGTTATGAGGTGTGAGAAAGTCGAGAAGATTAACGGTGCATGCAGGAGAAGGAAAGGAATCTTATCTAAGTTGGGTGTGATGTATTGGTCATCTCGAACGAACGAATATTAAATTATATGTACGTAAATACGTAAGAAAGAAAAAATCGTATGATTCACGCTACGACGATTGTTTCAGATCTTTTCAGCAATCGATGACCGGAAATTTTTTGCGAGTTCAAACCCATTTTTATAGTGTTCGTAATCATAAAGTGTTTGAAGTATCTCTCGCTCAGTGTTCATTACAAATGGACCATAATGTACGACGGGTTCCTTTTTCAAAAAAGTTGAAACAATTCAATTCGATTAAATTTAAAGTATTGCTACCTTGTCTATTACTGGAAACAAAATGAATAATTACCTCCAATGGCTTTCCAGCAAACAGCATAAATCTTACACTCTCATCTCCGGTCTCTACAGGGAAATACTCTCCTTGTCTTTCTTCATCCAAAAACAATGCGTGATTTGCCTTGCCCAAAAATCTATCACCACCAAAGAATCCATCTCCGTCAATCACATACACAAAACCATTCCACCCTTTTGGCACAGGTTGCTCAACTTTTTTGTTCGCTGCCAATGAGAAATCCATTATCATTGTCTGTGTACGTGTAAATACCGGTGATTTTACTCCATGGCTTTCTCCCGCGATTACCTTTATCGTGATTCCTTCTTCGGGAGTTGCACGTGGAATGTTGGCATCTTGTAATTCTTGGTATGCCGGTTTACACATTTTTTCTGTGCTCGGTAAATTCACCCAGAGTTGTAATGCTGACGCTGATGGTGCTGGCATCTCTGCATGAACTATACCTCTGCCTGCGGTCATCCATTGTATGTCACTATAGAAAAAGGGATAAAATATTTTATCGGACAAAAGCATGAAAGTAGATAGGTTGACAAACTTACCCAGCTTTAATAACACCCTTATGCCCAGCAAAATCTTCATGCGCAATTGCACCTAAATAAAAAATCGTGAGTATTTACCCGAGAAAAATCTCAGTAGCGTTTAAAATACCTTCTAGTATATATGAAACAGTTTCGAACCCTCGATGCGGATGGTCCGGAAATCCATCTGGTTGGGAAACAGTAGCGAAATCGCACATTAAGAATGGATCCAAATAATTTCTCGATCCACCAATACATCGGCGTACTACTGCGCCTACTCCTTCCGGTTGACTCTATGGAAATGCAATATTGCATTAAATTAGAAGTTGAATTTAATCAAAACATCGATTTTATTTGCCAATAATTATCTTATTTACCTTTGGCGAAAAGGATTTTATAATTTTACGTGCAACAGAAGCCATCTTCGCCGAATTATTTAACGAATTAATATAGATTATGCTATCAAATTGAAAAAGAACGTTTCATTTATATATCCAAGCGAAAAGCGTGTAAATCTTTTCCCCTTGAGTAACTGAATAGAAGATTATTAATGATCCTAGCATTAATTTGTAAGCGTGTGACAAATTGAATATTAAAATTTTACTTGGATTATTAATTTCGATAGAAATTAATAAATTTGCAAATAATCAATCTAGAAGATACTCAAGAATTAACTGTTTTACATGATTATGGTGATATACAGGTATAGTCACAGGAAGCCAATAAAAATACAGCATGTAGAATATACATATAATGTGAATCATGTTTTACGTGATTTTTTATATGTATTTTTACATGAAGAAATCCAGCTAATCAGAAATAATTCATAAAAATACATTATACAGATAAACCGCTCTAAATGCACGCTCTATAATACACACACTCTCTAAATGCACAGCATAGCTCAGTCCCAGCTTACAAGAGCTCTATGTATTTTGCTCTCTATAAGTGGGTGCACCTAGAGGCAGTGTTGTCACTTGGACGTGAATCCAGCAATTTGATTGATTAGGACACTTGTCCCAACCAATCAAATTGCTGGATTCACGTCCAAGCGACAACACTGCTTAGAGGTGTTTATCTGTATTATAGATCTTATCAAAGACTATTTGGTAATGTATTTTTTTGTGATTAAATATTGAGATGCAAATCCTTTACAGTTCAAAGTATGGCTCTAGACTTTCTGCATCATATACTGCGCTAGCAGTCAGATCTGCCAGTCAAGAATTTTTGCTCGATATAAAAGATTTTGTAAATAAGAACTTTCTAAAGAACTTTATGGGGTAAAATCGCGTCTTTACACGAGTTGATTTTGATTGGCTGAAGCGCGTGATGTCAATCATGTCGAATGAAGGTCAAAACAAATGAGATGTTCTTGTAACATAACAAACCATAATTCCTCTTGTATTTTTAGCCGATAATTTGAATTTTTGGTAGAATAAGTGGTAAATGTTATTTACATTATTGACAGGAATTTTCTTATTTCCAATTTGCTCAATTCAAGGTTTGCTTTTCCTTCACATTTATATTAAGCTGACATAAGAGCATTATTAGCATATAACCAGGTCAACGAAAGAATAGCATTATTAGCATATAACCAGGTCATCGAAAGAATTAGTTTTTTACGAATCAACTTGCCTGAAAAAAAGAGACCATGAGTGAACACGCCCTGACACCGCCGACAAAAGTTATTAGAAGCCCGCCTTGTACACCAACTAGTAAGCGACGACAGCGTGCTGTTAATGGGTCATCAGCTGGTCAAACACCATCATCACCTTCAAACACTCCTCGGTGTAAAGGAGTCTCACTCACTACCGGATTGGCATGTAAACGGCCAGTATCATCTGATAGTTATTGCTATCAGCATCGAGGACAATTGCATACCGAAAGCATATTCGGAATCCCAACTACACCACGTCATCGCAATTTTGTTGATATTTCTGAACATATCACGATCACGGATAACATACGTGATGTCGTGGACGACGACGACGATGCCGATGATGATGATGATGATGATGATAGAGCAAAAGTTATTAAAAATCATCAATATGAAAATGTTTTTGTTTCTTCTTCTTCATCATCATCTCTCGAGAAAAGTATAAACAAACGTGAAGAATTCGATGACTTTTTGAGACATTTTAATAGGTTATCAATCGTGGAAACTAAAGAAAAATCAAAGACACCGCCGCCTTTTAATTCAGAACCAATATCTAAACTCATAGCTCCGAATTCGATACAAACTCCTCCACCAACATCATCAAATGTGATACAAACTCCTCCTCCAACATCATCAAATGTATTAAAACCAATCGAAATAGCGCAGAAATCGTTATACCCTCATTTGGACGAGCAACATGAGAATACAGAAAATTTTATGTGCTCGGATGCTTCATTAAATAAAAAATCACAATCTCTCGTTCATGTAAAATCCAGAAGCGGAACATCAGGTCCTCTCAATTATATGCAACACGGTGCCCGTATTCATATTAATTTAAATAGTCCTAACGACGACGACACTTCATTTCGACAATCACCGGGCTCCGTTCGATGTCAAGGACGGAGTTTAAGAACCGGAAAACTGTGCACACGGTCAATAAAAGTGATTAAGGATGAGGATAATACGAAAATATGGTATTGTCATCAACATAGAGTCGAAATCGAGAAAAATCAACCGTCGATTGAATCATTAACCTTTGTGCCCGGTCAATCTAAGCTTGTTTGGTTGAGATGGTCAGGTAATCAATCAAATATTTAATAATATCCAAAGATGAATAATAAATAATTAATGCGATTATTGCTACACAGACTGGATTGACTCTAACCTCAAAGAAGAAACGAAAAAGATGTTATTAGAAGAAATGTCGAAACCTATATCATCCAAAGACGAATCAGGTTATATTTATGCGTATGAATTGATTGATGGTAAGAATTTTCTTTTCTATGACGAGATGTTTCATGCCTAATATTGTTTTGTTTAACAATGATAAAATAGGTCCATTATCAAAGAATTTTGACTCTCGACTCTATAAAGTGGGTCGAGCAACAAATGTACACCGCAGGCTATATCAATGGAATCGACAATGCGGTTATGAGCCATCAGTGATTGAATATTTTCCCGAGAATAAAGAACTCGGTCAATTAATTACTGTACCTGTGACTAAATGCAAATACACCCATCGTGCGGAAAGATTAATACATATCGAGTTGGGTGACAAATTCCACACGATTCTACCGAAATGCCCGGGGTGCGGTAATCAGCATCGCGAATTCTTTAAAGTTCCCATATTGAATTCGGATGATGGGTGGGATAAAATCCGACGCGGCATAATACATTGGTTGACATATATTGAGAAAATTTACGGGGTCGGCTATTGAATCACATTTCGAAATTTACTTTTTATTAATTTATTTATTTGTATATTTGTAAATATTTACGGTAATAGTTTCTGTAGAAGACTTCTTTTGTTTTTGATTTTTATTTAAATTAATGCCACAATCGATCTGTGCTCACGTGAATAATAATAATGCTAAAATTACGATAATACGGTAATCATTTTTTGTATAACCACACGTTTTTGATCCATTATGTGTGATCAAAGAAATTTCAATAGAATAATGAACATACATTGAACACATTGAACATATATGGTCTCATTGTGATTATTCAGGGGCCAAAACACAAACATCTATACAAATTAATACTTTTGATCCGAACGCCTCGCACAAAGAATCGAAAATCGAATCGGAGGAGAACGTCTTAAACAGTATATATATATATTATTAAATATATTCGCGCGTCTTGTTGTGTACATAAACATAGGGAACCATCCCATGAAACTTAGAAAAAAACTGTGTGTGTTCGATTGGAAGGCATTTGCGTGCAACCATGCTGCAAAAGGATAAACTGGAAATAAACAAGCTTTGGAGTATACATGAATATGTAAGGTGTTTGTGTCTATTGTAACGTATCATATTCGAATTGACAAAACGAAAAAGTGAGAGGTTTGTTTTCAATTGAAAAGAATTGAAAAGATTTGTTTACGATCGGAAACCAATGTGAAATAAAAAAGGTCTTTGTTTGCGAATTTGTAACGTGACGTACGAACGTGATACGAACGAAAATATAGAACTGGCAAGAACAATGAGAACATTAACGGGAAGGAAAAACGTAAATAGAACGAGGCAATCGGTCAATTCGAGCAGAGAATTACAAAGAAATGTCAAATTTGATTGATTTAATCATTCCATGATTAAATAACTTATTAAACTTAATGCATGCAAACTTCATCATAATATCTATTTACCAAATATCCTACGTCTAATAAAAAATTTGTTAATATATTTATATATATATATAAATAATATTAATATTAATATACTTGATAAATAAATTATATGTACCTTAAATATTCGCATATCTTTTCAATGGTAATTGTGATTAATTTGAATTGATTGCTGTATATTTTCAAACAGGAATATATAAAAAATCATTTTAAAGCGGACCCGTCCCTTGCGATTTTTCTAGATAAGTATGAGGTGCAGAAAATACACGTGAATATCAGTTAAATATTAATTCACATGAATAAAAAAAACAAGATTGCGGCAATTGATAGCCATATCTAGTCAAGGATAATAATTACGCCACCTTGATTCTTATAATATATGTTAATTTCTAATACCGATGATTACATCTTATTATTGAGTTGTTAGGCGCAACCTTTTTTTACCAAGTCCATCTTCTTGCGGACCTTCTTCATCCGCTCCGTTCATATTCGTCTCATTCATTTTGAAATTTAGTTTTGATTCGATTATTATCTTAGGAGGTGTAGTCAATTCTGACCTATCAGAATTTGAGTTCAATTCGGCAGACAAATTTTTGATGTTCCTTCTTTTGCGATCCTTCGGTCTTATGGAAATTTTTATTCCCTGCTTCTGGAAAGCAGTTGATAGTTCTGTTGAATCTAAAGATCAGATAAATAATAGGTAAATACGAAAACGGGATTAAACTTGATAGGCCGCACAAGTAGAAACCGACCACTTCAGATACGGTACAGCTTCACTATAATCGTTCAGTAATAACTTAATTAAAAATTTGAATTCAAAATTTCGAATTTACTTCCTAATTAAGTTATAAATGTCGATTATAGTGAAGCTGCATAAGATCTGATGTGATCTGTTTCTACTTGTGCGGCCCCAAATACAAATAAAAAAACGGGTTTGAGGATCAATAGTATATACCAGTCATTCCAGGGAATTTTTTTGCACTGAAAACCTGAAATGGGTTTGAAAAAACAACCGCATCAACTAGCGATGATGATGATGTGCTACCAGGACAAGCACTAACAATAATAAAGGGGTATTCATTAATTTCCGAAACAATGAGTGTTTAACATTCAAAAAAGGTAATCAACAAGCTAAAAAAAGTATTAAATCAATGCAGTGAAAGTCAACTTAATAAAAAAAAAATAAAATTTAATCTTAATTAATTGTATGAGGCGACGATCAACTTCAATTATGATAAATTTGTCTTACCAGAACAATATATTCGATAAATTTGTAAACGAAAAGCGCAGGGTAAATAATCCTTCTGTTCTGACAGATAAATCGTGGAATATAAAATATATTCCTTGTTTCCCATTATGATCTTTTAGTAAATACGCCGAAGAGACAGTAGATCCCATCAGATTCCGTGTCGAAGTGGGTGCATCTAACGAGATATATGTTGATCTGGCACCGGTTGAACTAGGTAAAGAAGAGGGATTGATAACTAGAGATCTTTCTTCCTTTTTCAAATGACACCAGAGATTCGCATGCACCACAAATCCTGATGGATCCACCGAGCTGTCAAATTCAAATAAATTTTGAAATCAGTAATCTTTTACAATTATCAGAGAAACGTGACAAATTGTTTTTCAACCTTTCTAAGACTTCTGTACCATCATTATTGGTCATCGAAAGTTGAACTACGGGCGGTGGATCGAGTGGTCTTCGATCCTTTTCTCCAAATCCGCACATCCGAGCACGGAGTGGTTGTTGCGGTACGGACAATTTGTAACTATTGTTTTTTATTATTTTTTTTTATAAAGATAATGTAAACAACAAAAACTATTAATTACAACTTTAACTGAATGTATTTCAATTTATAATCAAAGTTTATTTAAACTTTTTATGCCCTTCTTCATTAGTTGCTTATATAATTGGAAGCTTTGTGGACGATAAAGCCTTGAAAATTTTATAATAAGGAGTATTCGTTACATAACAATAATAGAAAAGAAAAGCATTACAAAAATTGAATTTGAAAAATTAAAGAGTATTTATGATATCCTAAGAATCCACAAATGTCAAACTATTAAAATAAACAAAAACACTATTAAAATAACAAAACATAGCTAGCTATAGATACCTTATCGATTGGTCCGGTTGGTTTTCTGGCTTTTCCAATTTGGACGCGTTTTTGGAGTTCATGGTGATTGAGTCATGTCACCAACTTGATGGTAATTGGGATTTGGAATTTGGAAAACCTGGGGACATAATATATTGTAGTATTGCAAAATAGTAATAAGTCTTTGTTTTATTCATGAACGCGTGTTTATTTATTTGAAATGGTAAAGGATAAAAAAAACCCTAAATATCAGAATTTCGGTTATGTAAAGTTAAGTTATTATTAAAGAATTTCTTGCTTGCCTTTGGAGATTCCAACAACCGATCAAAAAGAACCAGTTTCTCGAAAACCAGATTGAATCCTGTAGATTTTTGGAGAGCTTTTATTTTCTTAAAAATATAAAAAATATACTACTGTTATAAACTAATATAAAATAATATAATATAGTAAAATTATTACCACAATCATACAGAATTTATGAATTCATTCTATTAATAATTCCAAGATCTAAAAAAAAGTTTTTTGGTTACCCTGATTTCTTTGTCATATTAATTTGTGAACCGGGTAATGGCACAGACATTTTTCGATTATCAAGATTCGCATTATTTATTTGAATCTTCATGGAAGTATTTTAAAGAGACGTCAGTTCTTTTTCGTAATCTTTGAATAATAAATAGCGGACTACATGAAAAACCGTGCAAATGGAAATAGCCAAAGAAAAAACAGCAAAAGATTCGAGGAGTTGTACCAGTTTCTTGGCATATTGCCAACGTGTTTATTTTGTTTAGCAACATGAATGAAATTTGTTTCGTAATAATGAAATTTGTTTCGTAAGAATGAAATTTGTTTCGTAAGAAAAAAAGCATGAGCTTAGAATACTTTACTGTCGCTTAGCAAGCAATTGTATCTTAAAGGTATAGTTCCAAATGGAAAAGAATCTTAACAAGAAATGCCGCACATCGTCGTGTATCTATATTAAACGCACGCCTCTTATTGCTAGTCGGCGATTATTACCAAAGTTTTCTGATGCTTGCGATGCACAATAACAACAGGATCCAGGCAAAAGCAATTATTTAATATTTTGTGGTCTTTTTGTTGTCTGCTTCATGCAGCCATCTGTATAATAACAAACTGGGAATCGATTATAGTTCGTTGTTACTGCAGGATAGAAAAACAAACAAGTAAACGGAATATCAGTAGCGGAATATTGGAATATTCTTTACGCCGTACGAAGTTTTTTTCAAGCTCCAATATTAACCGTAAAAATCTTTCGTTCTCTCGCGCTGCAAAGACAATGACAAGAAGAGTAAAACTGAGAGAACGCGTGGATAAATTATTTAATATATGCAAGTTAAATTAATTTCTCTTGACGTTTAACCAACATTTTACGGTTTCGAATCCTGACAAACAATAAACAAATGGGTGCTTGAGATAAATATAGTCTAAAAATAGCATACATGAACAATGGGAAAACAATACTTTCCCTGCTAATTTACGGTAAAAAATATGCATGTAAAGGTTGTGGGTGTATATACGAGGCTGGGTGCCGAATAAATGCTTTTACGATATATCCTTCATAGACGGTGGATAATTTCATAATGAGAAAATCCACCAGGGATCCACTTGAGACAATGAATTAATAAAGGGGACGAACGAAAGTTATCGATAATTAAGACTTGCCATTTTGGAATTAATGAAAAATGTTTCCTGCACCTCCTCGTGACTTAAATTAATTGGGCTGCGAATTTTTCAGAGTCCCGGAATTTTCATTGCTGCATGAGAGTTACCCGAACGACCGAATATTGAAATATCAACCACAAAGAAAAGAATGACGTGATTTTCATGCAGCAAAATAAAAGCTTATAAGAGGAATAATCAAACAATTACCGGACATGTTGGGCTGAACTTTTTGTCCGAGATCTAAGTATTTTTCAGTTGTCATTTCCGGATTAGCGAGCATCCGATTTTATGGGAGCGACATGCAAAATAAAAAGAATATATTTAATGCGAAATATGGTAGAACAAATTATATTTATAGAAAAGACTCAAGAATTAAATTCATTGATATTCAAAATCGTCTTTTTTTATTATGCCCCGTAAATTAAGAATCATCAATTCACGTCAAAATCTGAATAATTTCAAATTTGTCATGTTTCCCGTCATCATAGCACTTCATGATTGTAATTGTCAGCATCATTATTAGACGCATTCGCACATGTAAGTTAATCATCGCACTTTGCGATTTTGCACAATATCAAATGTTTTCTTCTTAATTTATTCAACTTTTGATCATATAGACACTTTTGCAGCTCTCTGCATACATGACATAAAATCTAAGATAATTTGCATACATGTATTTTGACGTCTTACGATATTTGGGCTCTGGTTTTTTTTCACTTGAATAAATAAATAAATATTATTATTTACCCGGAATTCGTCATTTTTTTTGTTATGCAAATCACGTTAATAATACCAATACGGTTTCATGCACTAATAAAGCTAATCGTACCGTGCATGGCATTATTGTTTTTTAATGCAGGTGTTTTATGACGATCTTTGTTTCAATAATTGGTTCATATTTTTGTTATTGTTGGATGTGTTCATGATGCTCGGCGTAAGAACAGCCAGTGCTTGTTTTCGCTTTTACAAAATAACGATCATGCTGGTTTCTACTAAAATAACGTAAATTTCATGCACGCCAGAATTTTAATTCGAGCATGAAATTTCCTGTTTTAAAGCTATTATTGTCAAATTGAGTTGTGTATGTTACTGCATTATCCTTTGACTTTTAATGTTACAATTTTGCATTCATGAACCACGTATGAGGCTGATTGATATTAAATATGATTTATTGTCTTATCCTGAATAGAAATTTAATGCATAATCTACGCAATCGTGCAAGACTTTAAAAAATGCGTGATGAGTCTAAGACTTGAGCCTTTTTTCCTAGTCAAATAATCATGAACAAAACATTCATAAGAGAAAGAACAAAGAATCTTTATAATTGGCTCTAATGATCTCTATGGTGAAGAAAGCCTCTTATAGTAATTTAGAAACATGTCTTCGCCATATGTGCAAGTATGTTGCCGATTGTTCTTTGATCAAAAAAGCCTGAGATTAAACAACAATCTTATACAAACCTTATTGTTTTTCATCCTGCATACACATAAAAAGTTTTAGGGATTTTTAATAACCAAGTTTTTTTGGGAATTTAACACTTATTGATGAAACATGCAGGACATATAGGACATATCCTAGATTTTATCTCGTAGATGTGATCATATATAAAGCGACGCGTCGAAAAAATTTTTATTCATTGAATGATTATAAGTGTCGTGTCGATTTGCACAGCCCAAACTAGAATAGGAGTACTATGGCGTGTTCACCTATATGATTTTAGTCACGAGAACTGACTCAAAAAATTTTTTATTGTATCACGTGATTAAAATCGATAGATATTTATCTTCTGATTGGCCAGTTTAACTTGACCGGTATTCCGAAATTTTACATTTTATTATTAGAGTTAGGTCATATAAAATCGTATATTTCCAAACCTTTATAACCTGATTTTCTATGAAAGTAAAAGTAAACCGATAGAAATAAAGCTAAAGTCCTGAACATTAATTATATCGGTTTACTTTGCACATTCCTCTTTTGGGTAAGGAGTTATAATCTTTTAAAGTCACATGATATTTTTGTGGTTTATAGGTGAAACGCATTATACAACTAGTTAAGGTTAGTGTTAGGGTTAAAGTTAATGCTGGCCGATGACGAACAGGTGAAGCGTTACCTAACATAAATCGTCATCTGATAAATATGGATTTTCATTCAATTCTGATTGGCTGATGTTTTTAATCAGATCAAATGAACGAGCTATTGGTTGTGTATTGATATTGCAAAATTGTCTTTCAAGATAAACTATCATTTTCATTAAAAAATGCTCGTAATCGAGTTTTTGTAAATTTCAATGATCCCTTTTACCAGCTAATATTATAATTTCAATAATTAATTCTACTAAAAAAAAGGATAAATGGGAAAAGAAATCTATTTTGAAATTAGATTTGCTTTTGATCGAGTCTTTTAGCTGCTGACATCAGAATTCAAAGCAGGGGAAAGATGTAAGGTAAACATCAAACACATAAAGAATTAAAACTTTGGAATCTTTAGAGTCTTTGACACCATCGCTGTTCCAGAAAGTGCATAAGTTAACACAAATGGATGAAAACTTAACCCGTAAAACAATTCCGTCACTCCTCCTGGAAGGTTTTCGTTAATCTTCCCTGTTTTCGCTAGATACGCAATCGTGGCCACCATGATCAAGCTAGTTGGGATTGGAGTCCCTTCAAAGTAATTAACCTTTCCTGAAGCATCTTTTGGTATTATTGCTACGGTTGCATTATATCGTGCTAGACGAGCAATACCACATGAAATAAAGATTGTCAATACAATCGTATCGACAAATGTCCTCATCCCAACAGCAAATGCACAAACAGCCGGCGCAACGCCAAAAGATATCTTAAAAGATTACTTATCATCAATGATTGATTTTCGTGGATTATTATATAAGAATACTGTAATTAACACTCACCAGATCTGCCAAAGAATCTAATTCTTGACCTAATATGCTGGCATTCTTTCGCCATCTAGCGATTTTCCCATCTATAATATCAAAAAACGTTCCTATTGGTATGAAATACATGCTCCGCCATAACCATGTCTCATCACGTGTTATTAAGTATTGCATGCTTGAGAATATGGATAGGGACCCACACGCTCCATTGCCTAATGTAATAAAATCGGCCAGATGAAAATTTCTACAATAAAAAATTGTATTAATGCAACCATCAAAAGAATTAAATAACGATATCTTAAACTTATAAAATTATATTAATTTTGCATACCTTACTAAAGAGAAATGTTTAGTCTCGTTAAATTTTTCAATTTTTGCATTAACAATTTTGTTTGTTTTGGCCATCTTGTCTCAGAAATTTTTAAGGGATTTTGATTTATTTATACTTATTGATGGGCAATTTTTTCCTCATTTTTACGTCATAACATGAGATTAAGGTAACACGTGTATTAGTCTTTTCTAGTTAAAATAATTTATTGATAAATTATTTTATCTAAAAGACCCAAATAGAACCCATTCCATAAATTATTTTTAACTCACGTTTCTACAAAGAAAAAATTTAATTTATTATTGCTTATTGCGAAATCCAATGATTGCCCGTCTTATGTTTATCACAAACCCGGTTCGAATTTCGAACCCAGTCAAAAGTCTCGGTTCATAAAAATCTTTTTTAATCATGAATTTTGACCAATCAAAATAGCGGACAGATCCAAACTGTTCAATTCGAACTAGAAATAAACAGTGCTAATGCCCGGACTTTGGCTTGAGTTCAAAAAAGGTTCAAAGTTCGAACCGAACTCGAACCAAACTCGAACCGAACCATTGTACGAGTTCGAGTCTGGTTCGAGTTCAGTTCGAGATTGACATATAGTATCATATACCAATTTGTAGCTCTGAATTTGGGCTACAGCTTTAATTATAAGTATAATTTATAGTATTTATTAAGAATTAAAGTTTAACTAGAGACAACTAAAATATTTTCATTTTTATGTTTATTGAATTTTATTATAAATGCTATATAACTCTCTGAATATTTATTATTAATATCAACTATCTTATATTAGTTTGTAGCTCTTATTTTTAGCTACAAATTTACTTAGAATCATAGTTTATAATTTTTATTAAAAAATAAATATTTACTATAGTATAACTAAAATGGATTAAAATCATAATAATTGAAAATATTTTTTAAGTCTATATAACTCTTTGAATATTTAGTATCAATTTCAAATATCTATATTAATTTGTAATTCTGATTATAATTTATAATCTTACTTAGAATCTCATTGAATATTTACTTGATTTCAAACTGGATTTTTAATTAAATTTAAATTTAATTTAAAGTTCAAATCGAATTTAAATTAATTTTTAGATTGCATTTAATTTTTAAACTAAATTAGATATATATTTTTTTCAGAATTCTAATTTGAATCAAACTCAATTTTCCAAATAATTAATATATAATAAAAATAAAAAAACTTTAGAATATAATATTTTATAATTTACATATTAAATCCAAACAAAAAAATATAATATTTGATTTCAAAAAATCATATTTCAAAGTTATTATATTAATTTTTGTTCAAAATTAAAATAAATATATTATTTTTATAATACACTATTATTAAATTTATCTAGTTTTAGTGAGTTCAATATTTATAAAAATAATCTCATTTTTAAAAGTCAAAAAGAATCAAGTTATATTTTTAACTTGTATAATTTTTAGAGTTTAATAATATTTTTAGATGCAAGAAATATTATTAGTCTAATAAAAATGATAGGTTATGAATTTTATTAATAAAATTCTAATTAAATTATCACTATTATAATAAGATTGATTAGAATTTTACTAAGCAAACATAAAAAATTATTTTTATACTCTTGATTAATTTAGAACTTGAGGAAGTATTCTTATGTAAATACTTGTAAAATCATAAGTCAAGTCATATCTGACTCAGACTCATAATACTTCAGCTAAGAGCCATAAAATCTAACACTGCTTTTATGAGTATATATATGAGCTGCTTCAACTCTCTCAGAGCTCTTGTTACGTTTAAGTAAATATGTTAGAGCTAATTTATATAGCTTAGTAAAATTAATTAATTGAAAATAACAGCTTGATCACGACTTGTGACATCCGTGCAAAATTTGAGAAACTTGATAAGAGTTATACCTGAGGAAAACTCTGTCAAAGATTCAGAATAATATTCTTGAAGACAAATTTGTATATATTTAACCAGATTCTCAAGAATCAATTCTGACTAATAAATTCAAAAGTGTTGAAATAATTTTTTATACAAATTATCTTTTTTTTGAAATATTATATGCTAATATATTTTAGCTATTACTTTTTTATAAACGATTAAAAAGAGTTAAAATTATTTAATATATTGATCTATATGCTTAGAACATTAATATACGAAAGTGTCCAATGACTTTGTTTGGGGAGTGTATTTCCAGGATGAAAGTCACTTTTTTTGTGAATTCTTAATAGGCCTTCAGTAATATCATTAATGATTCAATTTTTTTTTGTAGTTGGTTTTTATTTATCTAATACCAGTACAGTCTGAATCTATTTTCGAAAGAACATATTAGAAAACAAAAAATCAACACGCTCACACTTTAGAAATGATCTATGTTTACCTTGTTTATAAACTCCAATGTTGTTTAAATTTATGTTTTCATGGTCTCACTTATAATTATGTAATAATACTTTATAAATCTCATTTTAATGTTTTTACATTCAAAAATTCTGTGCATTCTTCTATTAGAAAATTAATATCATTATTTTCGTTAGACAAACCAGCTTTATTAAAGCAGTATTTGCTTTTTTGACAATCAGTACATTTACAATCATGAATATCGAGATTTCATCTTTGAATTAAATCTAATAATAATGAAAATTATTCGAATAATAATTAATTATTCGAATCCAACCACTATAACTCTGCAATTACAATCTTTAAACTCGGGTAAGATTGTGGCTGGCATCACCAGAAATAACTAATCACTTTTTGAGCCCTTAGGAATGAATTTAATTCAATATACAACATTGGCGTAAAATTTTGAAATTGAAAAAAACCCTTTTATGAAATATTATAAAAGAATAAGGTCTCTTTAGTCATTTTCAAATAAAATAAAATACTTCCTACAATAATCAAGACAACAAATAAACAATGAGTTCAAAAGTCTTCTTATATTTTTTACCTTTTTTTATATTTCTTACAATTTTGGTCGTAAATACAAGTCCAGTTACATCAAAGTATGTTCCTAGTCCTAATAATCAATTAAAAGATGGAATCACTTCGTCTCATGAATTTGCTTTTAAAAATGATAAAGCAGAGGTACAAGAAATTGTAATCAATCCAAATGAAAACCACGAAACATTATTCGTAGAACCATCTCAAATTGTTCGTCGTCGAATCCATCGTGTCCCAGGGTACAATCGTCGTCGAGTTGTGCGTTTCCCAGGGTATAGACGTCGTCGAGTTGTTCGCTTCCCAGGCCACAGACGTCGTCGAGTTGTTCGCTTACCAGGGTACAGACGTCGTCGAATTATTGGCTAGAACAAGATCGATTTCTCTAGATCCTATTATTTCAATTAATTGAAAGTATGTCTGAAATTATTTAAAGAAAATATATTTGCTGAAAGGAATCGAATAAAAAAATTTGCTAAATTTAAAGCACTGGTTGTATCAAATTAACGTTCGGAATGATTGATTGACGCTATAAAGTCTTTAAAAACAAGTGATATCGATCTCGATATACGTAAGTAGCATTTAATAGAAAACGATAATAAGTGATTTTTAGCGACAGTAGAGAAAATTTATGTCGACTAAATTACCAAAGAAGACGAGACAGACGTGACAATATTGTTCTCGTTAATTCAGAAATTGTTATAATTAATGAATTAATGAAGTAACACAACAGTGAAAGAATAAAGACTAAATAATTGGGTTCACTAAAGGTTCTAAAGGTCTCCTGTGGTAGCTTGTATGCAAACTAACTTACTACCAAAAATAAATATAGAGGCAAAGAGAAGAATTAAAGAAAAGGATATAATAAATTAAAATAAAATAGAATAACTATTAAAAAATATAACAAGACTTATTGGGACTGCCTAATGAAATAACAAGATTAATTGGACTTATTGAGACTGTCAAATAAGAAAATAAAATAACAGGACTTATTGAGACTGCCTAAAAGTAATAAAACTAAAATAATAAAGTCAACAGCTATTTAGAGTGGAGGAGCATTCACTACTTGGAGTCAAAATTTGAAGATAATCAAGAAAATAATAGTGTATTCACAAGTATAATATCACAAGTAAGAATCTTATTATTTTTATTAGATTAGAACATGAGAGTTTCTAGTGAAGAGACTCTTCTTTTATATATTTTCAATAGTTACTTCAATTTACATGATTAATAATAATTCTAAATTATACCACTATTTATAAACAATATTAAATAACATTAAAAAAGAACAAAGATCAAAAATCAAATGAGAAATTACACAAGATAAGAGAAAAGAAAATACAAGATAAAATTAATATGAATTTGAATGATTAAAAATAAGAGAAATCATAAGGACACAATAAAAAGAAAGATTTTAAAGAAAAATTGTATAATATAAGATAAATTATAAAGAATGACAATATTAAAGATAAATATAAAAATAGTAATGAGAATAAAAATTATAAAGAATGACAATATTAAAGATAAATATAAAAATAGTAATGAGAATAAAAATACAAATGAGAAATAAAATATAATTGATTAAAGATAATGAAATGTGAATTGAAAATATTTTTGTTGATGATAAGATATATCAATAGCAATAAGAGAAGAAAAATACAAAAGTAAAGATAAATGTTAAAGTATATATAAAAAAATATAATTTGTTGATAATTAATTTAATTATCAATCAAAAGGAAAGTGATATTTGTGAAAATATGACTGTATAATATCAAATAAATACAAAACTTGCTTGTATAACATAAAAAGTATAAAATAAATATGAATATCATTAGATAAAATTATGATACACCATCATAAAAATTATTGAATTACAAAATTTTTGTTGAAAATGGTAATAATATCTTATTTCATCACTGACAAATTCATATTACCAGTCACACAAGTATTAACAACGCCTGAAATAGTACACCTTATTTTCTTGTATTTATCAATTGAATCACTCCTTGTTAACAGAGATTTTTGTCAACAATGGCATGCCATTATGAATATTCCAAAAGAATTTGCACAAAAATTGAAAAAAAATCAACTAAATGAGTTTATATCAAATCGCTTGAAAAAGAGAACAGCAGAAAATGTGGGAAGAAGAAAACTACGATCAGAAAAATAAGAAAGCTTAGCTATGAACTTAAAGAGCTTGAATTTAAAAAATACAGAATACAAAAGAGAAAACTTATCTCTCAAATCAGAAATTTCAATGCTTCGAGAAAGATTATTTGAACAAATCCGATTAAGTGGATCAAAGATTTGATTAGCTTGATGAGTCCAAACATTTAAGCAATTCTGTAATTTCAAAGAGATCGAGGAATTCAAGCAGTTCAAGATATTCAAGTAGCTCAAGGAGCTCAAGTAGTTCGATAATCTCAAAGAGTTCAGGCAACTCGAGGAGTTTAAGCAGTTCAATAATCTCAAAGAGTTCAGACAGTTCAAAAATTCAGACAATTTCATGATCTCAGAGAGTTCAGACAGCTCAAGGAGTCCAAGAAATTCGAGACGCTCAAACAATTAGAGGAATTCAAGCAGTTTGAGATGGTCAATTAGTTTGATAATCTCAAGAATCTCAAGCAGCTCAAGGAGTTCAAAGAACTCATCTTGAGGGTTTCAAGCAATTTACAAGATTCGAGTTTCAAGTGCAAACAATAATAAAGTTTAGGATATTGAAAATCAGTAATTGTTTCAAAGAATTATTTTAGTTTAGATATTGTTTTATAATATTTCTTAACTTTTTAAAACCATTTATAAGCTTATTTATTTTTATATATCATAATATATACCGTTTATTATGTTTTATATTCAAAATAATCAGAACAGGTTGATTTTTTTAAAATATACACTTCCTTCCAACAAGTGAATGTTTGAAACCGATTTTTTTAAGTCTTATCAGCTGATAGCTATCCAATTTCAGTTATTTTAGTAAAATCGATTAGAAGTTGGTATCCAAAATGTTTGATACAAGGCCTTAATGATTAGCCTTGGTCAACAATGTGATGCTATCTATATAATTAAATAAATCCTCATAAAGGAGACCTTTGAGTATTATAATCTCTAAACCTAAGTACTAATTAAAAGTCAAAGTTTTTTTGCTAACTATTATGCAAGTCATACTGATAAAAAATAAATTCGTATTAACGTTAACTTGTTAATCAAATAATTATACTATCGCTATCAATAAATCTCTTTATAAAACTGGTTCTATTTTTAGTAATACATGTACGTATACTATTGTTATGCTGGTTAACATTAAGTAATGCATGTACATGTACGTAGTAAGCTTTATTATAGATAATGCGATTATTAAAGTGTTGCTTTGTGCTTTCTACTAAACGTAAATGAAATTAAGTCCAATAATTAATTATAATGTTATAAAATGACATATCTATTTCTAATTCCAAAACGAATACCACACTAAACTCAATTCCATTTTATGCGCAAAGAAACTACTTAAGTTTTGGATGCTTTGGAGAATGTTGGTACAAGCAAAACTGGTTATAACGAACTCTGGATATAATGAAGTTTGAATTTGCAATAACTTAGTATAAATCTTGATATAATGAAGATTTCAAAATTTTTAATGTGTTCGGTCACCTTCGTTATATTCAGTAATGTAGTACTTTCAATAAAATTACATTCTTTTGTACCTGTACACCGGAAATGGTCGCCAACAAGCTACTCTCTCCCGCAGACTGGTTACCACAGAACACGACAGTTTGTAAATCAACGGCATGATGGGCACCAAGACGTCGTAAACTTTTAAAATTTCGATATAAAAACTGGCTTTTTGAGCATACTGACTGTTTGACAGGCTCGAAAGATCATTTGTTTCACTTTAAGTTATTTTTTTTTGTAGTGTGGTAATTATTGCAGTGGTAATAGTTTTGGTTTAATTATTATATTACGAACCTTTAATCGGAGGATGTCGTGCTGGAATCCACAGTACCGTTTAGCACTGTATATAATAACCAAAGTCTTATTCAAAAATTGTGGAACTCTTAAATCGACAATATGTTTCAAGTTTAAAATGTTACTACTCAACATAGAGGAAAATACTCAACATAGAGGCAAAATTTTCAAAATCTGACCGGTAACTTTGTTCTTTATAATAAGTTCTACAAAGTTACCGAAAATTTTGCCTCTATGTTGAGTAGTAACATTTTAAACTTGAAACATATTGTTGATTTATGAGTTCCTGCACCATATTATATTTAGAGTAATATATATTTAGGGGGTTTATAGTGTCTACATAATCATTGGGAATATTATGTTATTATTGGGGTATTATGAAGAATGTTGTGAATAGTGTTGTACATGGGACATCGTGGACAGATTTCGGACATTGTGTAACCAACTTTGATGTCGAATTACGCGAAATTCTATTAAGACAAGTTGTCTTGAACTACTAATTAAAGTTGTTCACAATTGATTTTTGCATATATCTACAAAGTTTCGATATATATTTATATGTAACACAAGAGTACGGACGTCCGCGGACCGGACGCGGACATCTCAAAAAAGTCGCGGACATCCAAAATGTACAACACTGCCTTTAAGTGTAAGCATATCGCTTTTTTGTTTTTCAATCTAATTAACTTTTTCAAAATTAGATTCTGACTGCTCTAAAGTGCAGTTCTCTTCATTATGGAATAACTAAAAACCAAGCTACAAATGAATACTCGATAGTTACTGGTCCATGAATTCCGAATACGAAGCAATGACTTGGGATGACAAATTGGGATATTTAATTGAGATCATTAAAGGGTTAAATAAATTTTACAATGAGGAATTTATGCATTGTGACTTTCATCCTGAAAATATATTATTATTCGATAACAATACTCAAATTTCTGAGTTTGGACTTAGCAAACCAGCAGATATATAAAAAACTGATCAAGAAATTTGCAGAGTACTTACTTATATGAGTACAGAGGTACTAGATGGAAAGTCATACACTAAAGCTGCAGATATTTATAGTTTAGGGATGATTACATACGGGGTTGCCACAGGTGAACGACCATTTGGTGAGCGGAGTCATGATATACACCTCGTATTAGACATCTATAACACAATACGACCTACGATACCAAGTAGTGTTCCTAAATTATTCAAGTTTGTTATTGAAAAATGTCGGGATTCTATTCCAGAAAACAGACCAACTGCGTGGGAACTTGAAGAGTTTATCTTCACTATTAGAGGAGAGGATATAATATAAAACTGAATACTTTGCATTTTCAGTACTACAACTCTTTAGAATATCCTAAAACAATGAAGAAATTAAAGAGTGTCTTAAACTAGAAGAACAGAAATGGAAAGAACTTGAGGAGAAGATGAGAAACGTTACTACAAAAATGAACAAAAACAGCAAATCCACTCAAATGCAGTTTACACCAGTCGAATGTTTACTTCAAAATCAATACCCATTCTAACTAACAAAGGTATTTTTTATTCTAAATATAAATCACTATTGACATTTAATATTAATTAAAATTCATATCGAATGTCTAGGAATGTCAAGTGTCTGTTTGTTTGTTCCAAAAGAAGGTAAAAATCGCTTGTTATGTTTATTAAATATAAAAAATATTTGTTTACATACTACTAACAATACAACTTTAGAATACGTGACTACTGAATATGATATAGACATTAATGTCGAATCTACAGGTGTCAGTTTGCATCTTCAAGACGAAGCAAGCGAAGGTGAAATTTATTAATTATACCACAGTATATATATTTTAATTTATAATGTTAGTAGTATATGTCTCACGAGAGTTTGAAAATGACGGAAAAGATGCCCGAAAGGATATTCAAACACAACGTAAGTTTTTCGTTAACAACGACAGAGTCCCAACGTTTTAAAAAATTTAATTTTTTAACAAAAACTAGATTTCAAAGATCATAAAACGAACAGCAAACTGCTTATTGAAGACGTATTGGAAGAATCAAATAAAAGGGAAAGACTTCGTTTTCATTGAATTAAGACAAATGTTTTATCTATTACCAATCAAGTTAAAAAGAATGATAGTAAAGGTAACAATTTTATTTTTAATTATTGACTTTTTGTAAATACGTACGTACGTATCTTGCTAGACTTCCACGTTTTTTCTCATTATTTTATGCTTAACGCAGAAATCGACTTCCACATATAACGATAATGATTGTTATGTCACAGTATTTATTTTACTATTATCGTTATTTCAAAACCCATTTTATAAGCGAACTAATACAGTTTTGATAAAATAGTGTTACATGTATTAAAATTATGTTTATACAGTGGATGGTCGTATTTCTGAACCGTGGACCCGGGATCTTTTACATGGCCATTTACGATTCGTATTACGTCTACAACATGCATTTGCTGTATTGAAAAGAGCCTTCTGTTATTTACACACAATAAAAGTCATAAAAGGCTTCTTTTTTATGCATTCTATCTCATTTTTCATACATAGAAATTGATGCTATTCTTTTAACACACAAAAATGGAAGTTTAAATGTTTACTGCTACGAACATCTCATTTATTTACAAGCGGAAGTGAATAACGACTTTCATACATATCATTGTTTTTAAATAACGATAAAAACACTGCCATAATCACTAATCAAATAAACTCAAAGATGACATCTAAAATTTCGAATACTCATGATTGTAGTAAATGTACGCGTTGTCAATATAATAAACATACGATAAGCGTAAATAAATGCGCAAACAAAGAAATAGAAATCGTTTTGGTCGTTGTGCTTTAACTCGAAATTACCTATTATAATATTGCTATTTAATTCAATAAACTATAATTTAATCCTTACCAATTTCATTAATAAAGAGCATGATTTTGGAAGTGTTCATTATAAAATTTTAGTTGTTCTTGAAAAAAGATCGATATATCTTCATCCTCCTCGTTAATTTCTGTTTGCAATCCAAAAGAAAAAATATTAATGATTAATGAAGCCATTAAATATAATTTTACCTTCGTTTGAACATGTAAATTGACGCTTGTAGAGCTAAATATTCGATATGAATTTTAATATGAAATGTCGGAATCGGAATTAGCTTTTAAGTAAAGTTTCGATTAGTGTAAACTGCATTTAGTGGATTTCTTGTTTTTTGTTCATGTTTGTAGTAACGTTTTTCATCTTCTCATCAAGTTCATTTAATTTCTGTTTTCTAGTTTTAGACACTCGATAATTTCTTCGCGTGTCTTAGGAGATTCTAAAGAACCGTAGTACTGAAAATGCAAAGTATTTTGTTCCCACCCTTCATGGAAATTGTGGATAGAGTAAAGAAAGTCATAAAATTGGTCTGTTTTCTGGAATAAGATCCCAACATCTTTCAATAAACCTGAATACTTTAGGAACATTATTTGGTATTGTAGGTCGAACTCCGTTATAGATGTCGCATACAAAGTACATATCATGACTTCGTTCACCTGTGACAACCTCTCATCTCAAAACTATAAATATCTGCAGCGTTAGTATATGGCATTCCATTTAGCACTCTGGGCGCATATAAGGAAGTTAGTACCCTAGCCATGGCGAAAAAAAGTGTTGGATCATGTGATTCCTGATCTGACACCGACCTCCGACATCCCCCCCTTATAATATATAATATTAGTATTTCGGTTAGGGTTAGCAGACGGTGGCGTAGTATATACCGTATCCTGCCGGTTATAAGCAACAATTTTTTGACCAAAATTTGGGCTCTTAGTTGGGGGATTGCTTATAACCGGCAGTTTTGTTATTTTTTAAAAAAAATTCAACTTTTTAATAGTGTGCAAAGCAATTTCTAATAAAATGTGTTCTCCACGATTAAATGATCGCTATATACTCCAAAATTCTTATTCTGGCTTTCATAACGCTGATAGCTGACTCGGTGCGACAAGAAAATCAGTAAATGATCGATTTGGTAATTTGTGAAATGCGCGATCAGTGTCTGTGTCGCGTCTCAAATTTCGCGCTCAATTTCACGTCAAATTCTACTTCACAAAAAAATATTATGCCTCCAACAAACCCGCAAAAAGAGTGATCCGAAGCTCATACACAACTCGACAAAAATTAGATGCAATATCTCTTGCAAAAAGAACTAGTAATAATCAAGCAGCTCGAGAATTAGGTCTTAGTGCTTCTCAGATATCCTCAAAGCTGCAAAATCAAGCACCCAAAAATTGGTGCTGGTGACCATGCTCATTATCCTGATGCTGAAACTGCTCTAAAAGAGTGGATCTTAAGTCTGCGAAAAAATGGTATTAGTGTTACCAGCAATATTGTAAAAGAAGGAATGAAACTATTGCTTCGAACAGAGTTTTATAAACATTATCCAGGTGCTTTTGAGCAGTTTTTCACATCTGATCACTGGTTTTATAGATTTTTAAACTGTCATGATCTTTCTCTCCATCATCATACAAAAATATCTCAGAAACTTCCAGCAGATTTAACTGAAAAGGTTATTTCATTCCATCGATATATTATCAAGTAACAAAAAAAACACAGCTATGACTTGAGTCAAATTTGAAACATGGATGAAACATCAATGTTTTTTGACATGGTGAGAAATACAACAATTGATATTTTAGGTACTGTTACAAGTGAGTTTTTAGAGAGTTTAGTACTAAATTAATGTGAATAATATTATGTCAAGCTAACTAAACTCAGTCATAACTTGGATTTGTTAGTTAATGAATATGCATTGTTTTATTGTTATTATTATTATTATTATTACTAAAAGATGTTGTGAATCTTTTTAGTGTAAATATATTCTAAGTGTGCTTTATATTCTTAGTGATGTGATTAAAAATAAGTTAAATAAGTCAATATAATCAAAGTAATTATGCACAAGAAGATGATTGTAAAGGAATATAATTAAATTTCAAGTTTATTGATTTTGATACAATAACTTTATAGAATAAGTTATTTGTGCTAGCTATATCTTGATCAAATTGATGTCTTTTTCAAAGCATCGATTGTTTTTTTATATAATAAATTTTAAAATTTTATTATATTGAACTAAATATTTTTGATTAAATAAAATAAATAGAAAACATATAAAAATTATATAAAAAAATAAAAAAATATATAATAATTATAAAAATATAATAAATTATATAAAAATTATAAAAATTATATAAATTATATAAAATTCATAAAATTTATATAATTTTATGTGAATTTTATAAATCATATAGATTATGCAAATTATAAAAATTATAAAATTAATTAAAATAATAATTAATAATAAATAATAAATCACATGTAAAATCACATATACAAGTTATATATCAAAATCATATATTACATATAAAAGTCACATAATTTCAAATTTATTCAATAGAAATAGAACTAATTAAATAATTAAATAATAAATAATTAAATTAAATAAATTTAATTATTAAAAAATGTTAAATATAACAAAAGTGATTAATTATCAATAAAATAACTATATTATAGAATATTTGAATTATAATAACACCAATACTGTTCACCTTCGAACAACAGAAAATGAAAAAAATCATTTTATCTACATCTTAATTGTGTTTACTGATGGTATCAAGTTAAAACCAATGGTGATTTTCAAGGGAAAATGATTATCTAGAGAACTTTCACAGGAAATTATTGTTAAAATGCAAGATAAAGAATGGATAGATAAAATATTGATGCAAACTTGAATAGAGAAAGTGTGGGTATCTCATGCAAGAGGATTATTAAAATCAAAAAACTTGCTTGTTTTGACTTTTTTTGAAGAACACAAAACTGAATCTGTCAAATACAAATTTTGAGAACATAACTACAATATGATAATTATTTCTGGCAGACTTATCTTTATTGTATAATCATTGAATGTGTGTCTAAATAAGTTTTTTAAAGATTGAATATATGAAAAATGGCATTTATGAATGGCAAATGAAGAATTTTCATTAACAAAAGATGAAAATTTATGAAAACCAAGTTATAAAATTATATGCGAATGAATTATTCAAGTATGAGAAGAAATTCCAACAGAAATGATAAAAAATCATTTTTAAAATATGGTATTTCAAATGAAATGAATGGATGATAAGATAATTTATTATATAAATCAGATGGTAATAATTTAGATAATGATGAAGAGATGGTCAAAAACAATAATGATATGTAAAAAAGAAGTATTATATAAATATAATAAAGAAATAAAAAGAGATTGCTTATAACCAGAAAAATAAAAATCAATAAAATTTGGAGGTATTGCTTATAACTAGTATTTCTTAAAACTGGCGATTTTTCAAAAATAAGCATTTGTTTTCAATTTTTGCCTTACACATTGAGCTTGCGATTTAATTAGTGCATGATTTTAAGAGGGATATCAGATAGTTAGTATCAGGATCAGAATCACATGACCTGATACTTTTTTTCGTCATGGCTAGAGTACTATAATAACCATGTCTGATATCACTGAAATTATAGTATTTTGCCTTATTTAGATGATGTTATTGGGAATTCGTTCACAGTTGATATCAGTAGTCACATGATAATGATCACCTCAAGGAGTTCATTAAAGAGAGAGTAAGACCTTGTTTTGACAGTATTCCAGCAAATGAATTGAGGATTTGGAAATTAAAATACATGCTGAAAATATCAAAGAACAAATTATTCAAAACTGTTGGAAAATATATTAATGAATCACCCACTAGCAATGACATCTGTATAATCGTACAAGCATTCACTGGTAAGTGTCACCTAATATACCTATCAAACAAGAAAAATTGTAGTTATCTTATTCATAGTTATATATTATTATTATTTTTGTATTAAAGCAGGGGTTTTCTCAGCATGATATAGTATCTCCAATTAAATAACTTGAGTATAGTTTATAGTTCTGTATCTTAACTCACTGGTATTTATTTGTTCGAAGGACAATCTACACACCCCTACAGTATATTACCGGAAATTTAATGTCGATCATTCAACGAATCAAAGTTTTTATTATTAAATAAAA